AAGTGAAACCTAAATTAAGTATCAAATTAAGTCAAACTAGGATTTTTTTAATATATCCTAAAAAACAATATTTAAGTATTCCACTTGAATATTTACACAAATTACGTTGCAAAATTAAGACAATTTGATAAAAAAAAAGACATGTTTCCTGAGAAAAATTTTATTTACACAATAGTAATATTATATAAAATTCTTAATTTTTAGCACTTTTCCAAAAAATTTTTGAAAAAAAGTGCTTATTAGTTTCACTCTGTCCGTCCGTCCGTCCGTCCGTCCGTCCGTCCGTCCGTCCGTCTGTCCGTGTGTCTGTTTACAAAACTTCTACACCCTTGAAGATAGAAAGCTGAAATTTTGTACTTATATAGGTCTTTACTAGAAACTTATTTCCGTAGAACAAAATTTTTACCTATCTCCCCCCCTCTAGAAGTTATACCCCCCCAAAACAGTAAAAATAGCCTTTTTTAACTATTTGTTGCAATGAAACCATAAGCATTTTTGAAATTTTGTAAGCGCACAAAGGCAGCGGCTTGCTTCTTCTATCGCGGCATGCTATACTTGAACTTTAAAAAAACAAAATGGCCGTTCAAATTTACCGTTATCTAAAGTCTTTTTTTTCCAAATTTTTGATTTGGTTTTCCTTCTAGACCTCAACCTGTAGAAGCCTAAAATTTTAGGGGCTTTTAGACATTAACAAATAGTTTATTTCGTTAGAAGAAAATTTGCTTCCATCTCCACCCCCTCTCAAGTTATCGTCTCTTGAAATTTGTAAAATTTGAATTTTTGACACCTTATATTTCCGAAACCGAAATCTTTTTCAAATTTCTATAAACACAAAAAGCTAACGGTAAATTCCATGACATTAAAAAATATAATTATTTTTCTTAACTCACACAATTAACCCTTAAAATCGAGCATTATGTTAACCCCACTTTATATTAATTTTTGCTTTATTTCAAAGACTGCATAAATCGTTCATCCTAAATATATGCAATCCTAGAAATATTTTTGTATATGAATGAAAATAATTTTAATAGTGTGATAGGTATACATAGACTGTATTTAAAAGCAGAATTTTCACTTGTTGAAGGGAAAAGTGCTACAATACAAACCATTGGTTTGACTCAACTTTATTTGCCTTTCTTATAATCCTACTTAATCGAAATTATTAATAAAAATTATTCTGTATCTGAAATAAAACACATTTATTATAATGCATAAACGTATTCCAAAATTGATTATTAAATTTATAACGTCGCAAGCGAATAACGAATAAATGTAGTCATACATAAATTTTTTTTTGTAAATAAATATTAAAAATATATGTATGTATTTTTGTAGCTTTACTTAAATTGAAAATTTAAATTTTGTAAAGCTCAAACTCATGCTATTAGTTTTTGAAATGATAAAAACAGAAAAAAGTAGAGAATAAAAATGTTTCATTGCAACGAATGCCCACTTGCGATCAATTTTTTGATTTTGTCAAATAACATATTTTTTCTATTTATTCATTTTGAATGGTTTAGTGATTTTTATAATTTATAAATTGTGAATAGCATTAAATCAAAAACACGAAAAACTAAAACAAACATACAGATACAGTGTTATCGTCGTTTATCACAAAATAAAGAGATTTTTTCAACATAACAGAATAAAAATAAAACGTTCTCTCTCTTGGATTTAAAAATTTTATTTTCATTTGGATTACATATTTTAAAATCTTAATTAATATATTAAATTTAATTTTTCATATTGCAATTATAATTTAATTAATTTAATTACTTATGCAATCGTAAGTATAGCAAAATCATAATTTTAATATTTTGTTAAAATGAATGAAAATGTTGAAAGTTTTACACTAATTGTCATAATATTGTCATTACATGAAATGGTACGGTACATACATATTAGCTTTGACGCTATTGCAATGACAATAATTATTGAAAATAAATTAACGTATATTTTCTTTAATCTGTTACTCATTTAATTTACCTAAATAACAAGAACTAATTTACAATTAACCTAATAATTGGTATTCTAATTGAATTTCGTTTAATACATATATACATTAATCTTTTTCAAACACTCTATAATCTGTACCAGGAATGTCAAAAACATGGCCCGCGTGTCACATGAGGCTGGTTACGATTTTTGAAAATTGTGAAATTTAATTCTTATAATTTTACTGCAAATATTAATTTAGATCAGTAAGAAAGTGTTGAAACCAGAGTTAAGGTTCCGCGAGGGTTTGTTACACATCCAAAATCCAATTATTAGAAATCGAATTTGAAAGAAGATTTTTAGATTTTAATAGATGTCAAAATGAATTTAACCTATATACAATTGAAATTGAAATGCTGCGCCATTCTGTACTAAAAGAAAAATTTAGAGAAGTGGAAATTACTAAATTTTATAGTTATTTACCTTTAAATCAATTACCAAATATTTTAATTACTATTGGCTAAGCGTACTTTAGCCATGTTCGAATGCACATATTTGTGTAAACAGCAGTTTTCGATATTAAAAAATAATAAAACGGTTGAAAGATCAATATTAACAGATCAACATGTTCAATCAATGTTAAAAATATTAAAAATTACAACTGCGAATTAAATTCAACCAAATTTCGAAGATTTAGTAACAGAAAAACGTTGCTAAATTTCTTTAAAATTATGATTTTATACTTTTTTGTGTGACGGTATTATTTGTATTAACATTTTCTATTTTTTTAAATTGATAATAAAATTCGAGTAATTTACATTTCTCATTACCAAATTTAGTAATTTGCATTTCTTATTGTGCGGCCCGAAGCAATGTGCGGAAACCCTAAAATGGCCCGTAATGGAAGATAAATGAGTTTGACATGCCTGATTTACACCATAAAGTATACGAAACTTTCTGATGCAGCTACAAGTACATATAACTAAAAAAAATTATTATTTCAAAACTTTTTTCAACAAGTTTTATTTCTATTTTTAAGCTTTTTCAATTAGAATGCACAATAAATAACAAAACATAATTGCTGCAGCAAATATTTTTAAATAAAATTCATTGATTAAATTCAAATGTTAACAAACAACATTAATTTCTATTTTAACTACCAATTTAATTTCTAATAAATGAACCCATTTTAAAAATTATAATTAATCCTTTTACACCATTTAAGTAAACAATTTTTTAATTAAATAATTATTATTACTACATTTATTTTAAATAATCACGATAACTTTAATTGGTAAATTTTTTTTCCCCAGTTTTTCAAATTATTTTATGAATGCGTCTGAATACACATTGTTGAAATATTCGATGTTGAATTATGTTATTAAAGAATGTTAAAAAAAAGGTAAAATTTTGAATTTTGTTTTTTTTTCGAGACTCAAAAAAACAAACTATAACATTTGTGGCATAAAAGTGATTAAATACTTGTTATTAATTCTACAAGTATATACAGAAAATAATATAATAATAAAATAAAATAATAGAAGACCAATAAAAACTAAATTTTAAAATACTTTGCAAATGTTAAATGAAAGTCTAAAAATAAATATAACCAAATTTAGTTTCGGCGAAACGAAATAAAAATTTATTCAAATAATTTTCAAAATAAATTAAATTTTTGTTTTAAACGAAAATATCCGGCACAAGGCATGATAGTTCTTGAGTCATAAACTGCTCTACATTATTTTTATTAAATTTCACACTCAAATATCCAGATAAGGGTCGTGTATCTTACCTAAATTTTCTTTAATTACTCAAATTCAATTATAAAATTCATAAATCAAAAATTATAAGTTTATTTGTACTTAAAAAAACTTTCTTAATTTTGGTGTATAAGAGCTGTGTATTTTGCTGAATTTTGCTGTGTAGCGCAAAACTTTAAATTTTAATGTACTAATATATCGACATTTCATTTTCAGTAAAATTTTCTCTCAAATAAGCAATTGATTTTTTATTAATTTTGGGGAATCCTTGTAAAAAATTTGAATTCTTAGATTAAATGTTTATTGATGTTAGAAATTATTAAAAAATCAAATTTCACGACATTACAAACATAGAAGATTCTTTCATATAGAAGAAAAATCAAAATTTTAAAATAGAACTAACTTAAAATAACAGTTAACTTTAGGACTTGATTCTACATTAACAGAAGAGGCAATCGCCTCTTTTTTGTTTTTACCGATTTCATAGTTTTTTTTTGGTTTAAAAATAAGGGTTCTTGCTAAGTGCACTGTCTGAACTTTAAGAGAAAATGTAACGTGAGGAAGATAAAAAAAGAAGGGAAATATAAAATTTTTTGTTTTCATTGAAATGATTTTTACAGCCTTCTATCCTAACCATAATGTATTAAATTTGTCAATAAATACGACTAATCTTGTCTTTTTACTATATGGTGTTATTATATTTAAGTATAATTTAAATTTTTTATAAAATACTAAATTTACTTTATTTTTCCGATATTTTTTCCATAGCCTCAATTTATATTTCAAAGTTCGACTAATATTTTTATATACACAACTCACTTTCTTCTCTTCTAGTTTAGGTACTCACTTTCTTCTCTTTTAGTGAGCAGAATAAGTGAGATACAGAATAAAGCCTTTAATTTTGAATTAAATACAAGTTTCATATTTTACGATATTTTTCTATTCACCAAGAAAAAACTATCAAAAATGTTTTTCGTTCCACATGTGTAACACAACATATGAGATTATTTTGGAAAATCGAAAAGTAAAATTTAGATTTTCTTTTAAAATTTTTTTCTTCTTTTTCTTTCCTTTTTATTTCTCTTTAAATCTAAAAATTTTAGTTCTTGTTGCTGTTTTTTTTTTTTGTTTTTGTTTTAATTTTATAGACTGAATGATTTTGTTACAGTTTTAATAATGTTTTTGTTTTTTTTATTATGATATTTTCTATTTTGGTCCAAAATCTTGTCTTTGATTTATTTTTTGAGCTATAAATAAGGTTTGCACTCGTAATGCAACTAATTATTACAGTTTTGTATTTTCGCACGTGAACGTAACACAATTCGCATTGCAATCGCTTAATTCTATTATATAAAAAATTAAAAACGGATTTTTCTCTTTTAAGCAATTTGTTAAAAATCTAAATTTAGTAAAATTTATAAATTGATTGTATTTTAAAAATGAATTTCTCTGTAAGTATTTTGACATATAAGAAAATACTAGAAAAAAGAAAAGTGTTTTATTTGTGTGTTAAGCGTTTTAACTATAAAATGTGGCGATATAGTTTCCCTGTATCGTTGATATAAGTACGCAATTAAATAATTTAAGATTTCTTAAAGAAAATATTTAAAGTCTAAAAAAAATTTAATTTCACTTAAAACGTTTTCACTGATTAGAAGGACAAAGTATTAATAAACTAATAATCACAAGATTGCAATATCTAATTATATAATATTGAATAAGAGAATAATACAAATTTCAATTATTGTAACAATAATTTCACATTGCAACTATTATAATTTTATATACACACATATGAAACTGATACTGAAAGTGTAAGCATATAGTTGGTGGCATGGCTAATAAATAAAACAAAATCATAATACTTTAAAGTTGAGTTATTTATATCTATTTAGTTCAAGTTTAACAACAAAACAAGTCATTATTTAAAAAAAAAATTTTAATTTGTTCTTGAATAAAATTTTGCTACCATTTGAAATTTATCACGACTTTAATAAATAAGATATTGATTTCTCTTTATTTTTATTATTGAATTTAAATATTTATAAAAATAGAAATCTGGTTAAACTTAACTAAAATCGAATAACAATGAACTTTAAGAACAATGAAAGAGCATTTAATAGAAATAAGTTTCTAAGCGTTTTGTCACTTTCTAAGAAAGAGCGTTTTGTAAACTTTAAAGATCCTTCTTACGAATACCAGAATGCTTGAAATAATATGCAAATTAATTTTTTCAAAAACTAATTATTTAATTATATGAAGACTAAAGTTCCCTATAAGTTTATTTTTATTTTCAAAATTTTTGGGAATTAATTTCATATTTCTTCCATTTCATTTTTGGTTCTCGATCTTTTGCAACAATTGATATAATCTAAATTCCACTAATTTTATTTTTGTCAAATTTCTACGAGTTTCAGTTAAATGAAAAATCTAATTTTTTAATCAAAAATCTAATTCAATTTTTTAATCAAATTTTGGTTGATTATTTAAAATTTAGAGATTTCCTTTCAAGAAATCAAGATATAGAATGAATATTTTTCCAGCTCATATTTTTATAAAGACGTAAGAACATTAAAAAAATGAATATATAAATTTTAAAAATAGTAAATCAACATTTATACAAATATTTTGTACATAATATAAGAAAAGACAAATAAAAATAGTTATTCAAATTATATTTACAATTAGGTTTTTTACCCTCTTCTACGTATTGAATGCTTTACGGTGCCTTTCACATCCTCTTTTCCTCTTTAAGGCCTTTTATCCCTATGTTATTGAGTTTATGGAAAGGATGGTATTAAATAAGCTTTTAAAGATGTTTGTCGTGTTGCTGTGTATAATATCATATTTCATTGAAACAAAGTTTCTCCTCTAAGTCTTTTGTTATCAGTTACATTAATACACATTATGTACCTAATAAATAGTAATAAAACATTTTTAAACGCATAAAATTATCTATTCTGGAATATTCCAAAATATTCAAAAATTGATATTGCATACTACAGCCCAAGCAGTAGTGAAGAAAATATGTAATATCTTACGCTTAGCTACAACGAACTTTTAGAAAAGTTTTAGTATGATGTACCAGTGAGATTTCAGGAATACAATTCTTCTCATAACTAATTTCAGTTACATTATTGAACAAATTCATGAAATTGCATTCACACAATTTATGCATATAATAGTTAAAAGAATCGATTTTCCAAAAACTTTGTCCATTTACCAAATTTACTGTAATTTTTCTGTTTTATAGTTTGCATTCACAATTGTCTTATTGATTGCTATTTGTGCTGCTGCACCAACCCCAGTAGAAGAAACCGCAAAAACAAAACGTGGTCTGCATGTTGCTGTTCATCATGCTCCAGTGTTAGCACATGCTCCAGTAGTATCACATGCTGCATTAGTACATCCAGCTCCTATTATACATGCACCAGCAGTTATACACCATGCGCCTGCTGTTATACATCATGCACCAGCAGTTGCCATACATCATGCACCATTAAAAGTAGCTGCATTCCATCATGCACCTGCTGTTTCACATAGTTCTGTTGTTCATCATCATACTCCAGTGCATGCAGCTTTAGTACATGCACCAGTCGTTCATGCACCATTAGTTCATGCCCCAATTGTTCATGCACCAGTCCATGCTGTCCATGCACCTCTTGTACACGCTCCATTTGTGCATCATTTATAAAATGTGTATGTAAATAACAATAAAAACTAAAATTCGAATATGAAATTGTAAAGACGCATTGATATTTAAAAAGTAACAATATTGCTTATACTATGTTTGTACAACTATGTTTGTATTATAATAAATAAGGAATTATAAGCGAAAAGAGTCAACATTTGAATATTATAATAAATAATAAATGTAAACTAATTATAAAATATAAAAACAAAACAAGAAAATTTTCATCAGTTTTACTATCTTTATAGCAATTTATGTTATAAAATGTAACGGAAGATGTTACTTGCAATTTACTTTTGCAGCAAACAAATTCATTTTCCATTGCAACTACATCTTTCTATTGAATTAAAAAAATAATTTAAAAATATTAATAATATAAGAAAATTGATATTAATAGCATTTAGAGATGATTGGTACGACAGCAGAGTAAGGTACATAGAGATTGTGTTATAATTCTAAATAAATAATTTTGCATTATAATTTTCGTTTAGGCCACTCGCTGGAACTCGAAAACTAATACATGTAACTTTAATTAATATACCACTGAAAAATAATTTTTATAAAAAATACAATATGTAAATAATCTTTTTATTCTCAATTCTCTAAATCCTTCATTATTAATTAAACAATTATCTAAATCCTTTAATATTCGGAGTGCATTATAAATTTGCCAATCCGTTTATAACGCTAAGAAATAGATGTGTGACATATAGAGTCAGATCGTCTATCTCGCTATTTTGCTCGAAAAGTGAGAAGAAAGTGAGTAACTATCATATACTTGTATAATGTAATTTTCAAGTGAAAAGAATTATTCCGATTGCGTATCGCGTTCTTTTTAAAATTGTATACAAAAGTTGCACTTTGTTTTTGAAAGTAAAACATTCAGTCGATAATTTGAGAAAAAATGCAAAAATCCAGTTAAAAAAATGAGTTATCTTATTGGAAAAGTGAAACATCCATTAGAAAATACTTATAATTCTGATTTGAAAGTGAATGAAAATTGAGCGTGAAGCGTCAATTTCTGAGTCGATAGCTATATCATCCTACTTGTAACAATATAGCCAAAAATTCAATAAAATTTGGTTATGCGGTTGTATAACTCATCACAATAGCTGACATAATTTTCGCTTCTTATACAACAAGTTTGGTAATTTATCACAGCTTTTAAATAATTGTTTTAAAAAGATATAATAAAACAACTTAAAAATTTCTCAAAACATGAGATATATTATGACCACACACAGAGCACATTATAAAGAAAGATATTCATCTGAATCAAGGAAACTGGATCAAGGAAAACCAATTAAAAAGCATATAAGCCAAAGTATGTATGACTACAATAAAAAGACGCAAAAATAATAATTCGGAATAGAAATTCAGTTTACAAAGCAGCACATTTCTATTAAACAATTTAAACAGTTAGAAAATAATTTAATTTAAAATATTGTTTTTATACAAAAAATTCATCAGAAAATTTAAACAGGTGTTTAAAGAAATTATATTTTTTCATGCAAATAGATGCACATATTTACATTTTTAAATTTTTTTGTAAAAAAATTAATGAAGTTCGCCATTAATATCAAGTAACTATTATTGTTACGTAAGTTAAAAAAGTTCGTAAAGTAACGGTAATTTTATTTGCAACTTTCAACTTGTCAAAATGAATAGGAGCAACAATATTTTGTTGCGAGCATTTCAATTTACAAAGGTTTCTCGAAATCAAAAAAATAACACAAAATTAAAATAAAACGACAGGTGATAAAAATACAAAGAACAATCAACAAACATAAGTGGTAGCAGTGGTTAAGTTCTTTCAACAGAAACACTTATTGGTGACAAAGAAGTAGTGATGACAAGCGCGTGAGACAAGCGTGCATCAAGAAATACAAAAGAAATCAAGACACATAGTGCAGACTTAAATTGCTTTAGTTTTTAATCAACAATAAAATTATTTTCTTAAGCGATTCTAACTGATTTCCATTCGATCAAATAGCAGTTAATATAATATAATAGTAAATACTAAATATGCTGCTTTCCAATATAATGCTACCTAATTTAGTGAGTAGAAATCAATATTCTGGCCAATACTGATTTCTATTAGAATGGTTACCTGCTGATTTTTAAATTACGTCAAACAATCCATTTTATGTTTAAACAATCCATTTCATCAATTTAAAAATTATGAAGCAATATATAAGAAAAACTAAAAAATAAATTTTGATTAAAAAAATTATGGTTACAAATAAAATATGCAATATTGAATTAAACGCAATTGTAACAAAGTTGGGTCAAACCAATGGTTTATATTGTAGCTGTTTTCTCTTCAACAAGTGAAAATATTGCTTTTAAAATACAGTCTATGTATAACTACCACACTATTAAATTATTGTCATTCACATACGAAACTATTTCTGGGATTGCATGTATTTCGAATGAACAATTTATGCAGTCTTTGAAATAAAGCAAAAATTATTAAAAAGTAAGTTTCTAGTAAAGATCTATGCAAGTATTAAATTTCAGCTTTCTATCTTCAAGGGTGTAGAAGTTTTGTAAACAGATACACGGACAGACGGACGGACAGATGGACGGACGGACAGAGTGAAACTAATAAACACTTTTTTTCAAAAATTTTTTGGAAAAGTGCTAAAAAGGGGAATTTTCGATAATTCAGATATGAACTCAAAGTTCTAACTTAAATCTTAAAAATCTTTTATTGCATTATTACAGAGCTACGGCAAATATCTTACGTTTTTCTGTGTTCTTTCCCCCAGGTTAAGACTCACAGATTTATATAACAAAGACAAGCTATAAATATATTTATGAATGTATGTATTTATGTACATAAAATATTGAATAATTATTTCATTACAACCATAATGTTAACCTAAACTTTGATTTATCTTGTACAAATTTACCATAAGTTCAGTTGAAATAGTAATAAAATCAATTATACTACCGGATTCTAATCAAAAAATTTATTTTTATTCGAGCCCTAAACTCATGAAACAAAAAAAGCAAAAGAATATAAAATTTAAGGAGTTTTGTATTCTTTTGTTTTTTTTTTGTTTCGTATGCATTTTGTTTTACATTTTGTCTTCAGATTAAAGTAGATAAGAAAGGAGCTTTCAAGCTTTTATTCTTAATAATTTTTATTCTAAAATAAAAACACTTATTTATATATATTTTTGTTTGTTTTTAATTTTTATTTATTTTTCATAATTTTTTCTTTTTTTATTTATTTTTTCGTTTTTTTTTTGTTTTATTTTATTCATATTTTTTTTTACTTTGTTTTGTCCTATTTTTATAATTTTAATTTTTTTTTTTGTCTTTACATAAATTTTAATCGTTTTTTTACCTTCTTTTTATTTACCTTTTTTATATATAGTATGTATATATTTGAATTAACCTAAATTGTTTTGTTTCGATCTTAAAATTTATATAATATTTTTTATTAATTTTAATTTTATAAATTTATATATATGTATATGTTTTATTAATTTTTTTTTAATAATATTGCATGTATATATATATATATATATATTTTTTTTTTTTGTAAATACATACATGAAACATATAAGAAATTTCAAAAATAAATTTAAAAATATTTTTTCTAAAAAAATTAAATTAAATTACACAATTTTTGAAGGCTTATGTTTTTTTTTTTGTTTTAAATTTTTAAAATAAATAACAAAAAAAAATATAAAATTTAAAAATTTAAATATATAATTAATAATCATAAAAATAATATTATAAGAAATTCAAAAATAAAAAAATCTGTTTTTATAAATCAGTCAAACAATGCTTGAAAAGAAAAAAAATTTGTCAAAATAAAATAAGTTACGCCTTACTATTGAAATTTTTTCAAAGCAAAATTGTTGAATTTCTAAAAGATAAAAAAAAGAAACAAAACAATGATTACATAATGATTTTCTTTATATTTGTTGAATATCCACTAAATATTTGTAACAGTAAAGGCAAGTCTTTACTTGTAATGAAATTTAATATTAATCTAAATATCTTTTAATATTTTGCAAAATAAAAAAACATTAAAAATTCGTATTATAATTTTAACTAAAAAAATAAATTGTTAAACAATAAAAAATCAAAATTTTAATTAAGAATCAATTTGCAATCTGAATAACCATTGCTCATGATCTATTGTATATATGTATGTACAAAAAAAACAAAAAGTAATTTAATTAAAAAAATTTCAAGCAAAAAAATTCAAATTTAAATTTTAAATTTGAAAATTTCTTATCAATAGTAAGGACTAGTTTTATATTCATTATTTTTTTTCTTTCTCAAATTTCCATACATAATTTTAAAATGTTTTTTTTTTTTTTTAAAGAACACTTGTTTATTTTTTTTTTTACACTTTTTTATATTTTGTTTTTTATATTAAATAAAATTTAATAAATAAATATAAGATATAAATATTTGCTACATAAATAAATGTATATACGTAAATTAATAATTATTTTATATAATATATACATAAATATAAATTTATAGTTAAGAATTTATATATATATAAGATTTTTTTAAATTAAAGGTTAAAGTTGGTTAATTTCATCGATTGAAATAGAAATGAAAACGTTTTTTATCAATATTTTCATTTTGAATTTTTTTTCTTTGTCCGTTCTTTATTTTGCTTCATATTTCATTTAAGTAAAATAAAATTTAAAAGTTAAAAACTTATATTATGCTACACAATATATATCAAAATATATTTTTAAATAAATTTTAATAAGCAGAAAATTTTGAAAATATCTGAATACATAAGTTTATAATTTTATAAATATTCTATAATCATATAAAGAAAATGGTAGTATAACATAATATAGAATTTTAATTTATTAAAAATATAATAACAAAATTAAGAACAAAATTAACAACGAAAAAAAATTCAAAATATCGAAAACACAAAAAATGATTTTTTTTCTATTGCAGGGCTTAATAATTTCCTCTTCTTTCTTTTGTCGAAATTTTCTTAGTTCTGATATTAGTTTTTATTTTATTATAATAATACATGCTCTTTTTTTCATTAAAATTGTCGGAGTTATAACTGAGTAAATATTTCAATTTCGTAATTAATTTATGCTTTAATATAATAAATATTTGAATAATTTATTTCGTTTCCTTTGTTTTTTTGCAGTTATCATTTAATAATGATTTATTTTGTTGTTTAATATATGAATTTATGAACAATATAATATTGATATTCCATTATAATTGATAATTTTTATTATTTTATTAAATTGCATTATCAATTTTTTTTCTTTTATCATTAATATTATAAATATTATGAATATATTTTACTATATATTTTTAATATAAATTTATATAATTTTATTTAAAAAATAAATTATTGATATATTTTAAAAACTTAGATAAATGTATTATATTTATGTGGATGCTTTTTCATTATAATGTACTTGAAATAAAATAAAAAAAAAATATTTAAAAAGAAATTAAAAAAAAAACAAAATCGCAATATATGTATTATATTCTTATTTTGATTCTAGAAAACCGTTCTTAGCTTTCCGAATTTTCAGTTTCATTTTGTTCATCAAAAAAATTGCGTTGTTGAAATTGTTTTGTTAATTGAATTTTATTAATAAAAATATTTAAAATTTTATCTGTAAAATCCTAAAAATCCAGATTAATTTAAACTTAAAAAAAAAGATTAACTTTATTTAATCCACACCTACATAATATTATATTATACTGAATTTCAATTTTATTTTAATTAGAAATTATTTTTCTTTAATTACATCAATTTAAATTTATTTTTTAATTACGAGTATATTGTTACTTGTTTTTATTATTAATAATTATATTTAAAAAATCTGAAAAATAAATATTTGGAAAATTTTTCGCAAAAAAAAAAATTATTTTCCACTTATTTATAACACTCATAACGTAGAATTAGAGCTTTAATAAAATACCAAAAAATAATATTTAAAATATATCAAATGTAATTTTCATAAGCAGAAAAAAATGTAAAATTATTTATAAATAAATCACAAAAAATAATAAAAATTTTGCAAAATACCATAAAATTTAAAAAAAAAAATTTTATAATAATCATGTATAAAAAAAAACAATAACAAATATGAAACATACAATTAAAATAATTTACAAAATGAAAATTAGTAACAATTTATATTATTAGTAGCTTTTATTTTTTTAGAATTTGTGAAACTGAAAAAAAAATAAATCTAACAAAATATTTAATAAATCAAAAAGAAAAAATCAAAACTTTAAATCATTAAATTAATCAATAGGTAAAAGAAAATAAGTTAGTTTAATTTTGTTATTAAAGAATTTACAAAAAATTATTATAGATAATTTTTAAGATCTTTATTGATTTCAAGCTTATTAAAATCGATTAATCTGATATTAACGAATTTCTTATATTGATTCTTATTCCTTTATTGAAATTTATATTAACAATTTATCACTATTAAATAGAAATTTAGATAATTGGTTATTCCTCCTAAATATTAATATGATTTGATTACTATGAAATTACCGAAAAATATTTATGTGAAAAGCGTATGTGTATTTTTTTTTTTTTGATTACTTTTGTATTTTGGTGAAATTTTAAAATATGCGTTATATAATTAACAAATTTAGTATCTTTTTCTTATTTAATGTTGATTTTATATATATAGTGATACTCATACTACATTATCTTATCGTTTTACAAAATTATTAATTTCTTTGCAATTTAAAAATTACATTCTTTCACTAAAAAATGTAATTTCTTCATTGAAAGAATTAAATTTCTTTCAAGCATTAGAAAAAAATAGTTTGATGTAACAATCAATTATTAATTATTAAATAATTCTTTCAATAATGAATTATCCTTGTTATTTAATTGCCAGTGAAATACTTTATAAAATATTTTTTTATTTATGCATTAATTTGTTTAATTAATTTTTTAAAAATATATAAAACAATTAATTAAATTAAAATTAAAATCTTTATACTTATTTTAATTACAAGATTGTATTATTAATTTTCATATTTTTATTTTTTTATTTTATAAAATAAGTGTATTATTATGTATTTTTATATTATTTTTAGAGAAATATAAGCCACTATAATCTTATTATCGAAATTACAGGATTCCCTCTATAGAAGTTTTGTTTTGTTATTTATTTTTTTTTTTCTTTTCTTTTTCGTTTTTTTCTACAGAAAATTAAAGAAATGTAATTATTTATTGAAAAAATTAATAATAAACTTTGAAAAATTTTGACAACAAAATAGAATTGTGTAAATTAAATAAAGTATGCTGACATTAATATGAAATCTTTATTTAAATATGAAAAAAGTCAAGTAATTATTGAACTAAAGAAAAATGAGGTCACAAATGAAAATAAATCCTTTTGCAATTTTTTTTTTTAAATTTTTTAAACAATTTATTTAAAAAAATAATATTCTACTAATAAATGATTTTTATTAAATCAGCAATTTATCGTTATAATTTAGTTTATGCTATAAAAGAAAAAAGATAGTAAAAACATAATAAAGACGCTATTTCAAATTTAATAGAGCAAAATTTCGTCGAATTTTATTAGATATTTTTATTAGATCTCCTTTTTTATTTACATTAAAAGTATTAATAAAATGAAAATTGTAAAAACATGTTAAGAGTTAACAAATTTTTATATTGAAAAATAAAGAAATTGTATTAATTATTGGATTATATTTTATCAAAATTAAAATTAATAAAATTGACTGGTGGGGAAATAATAAAAGCGAAATTGAATTTTGTTGACTACCTGTTTTTAATTTGAATATTTCGTTTTTATCTAAATGCTTTTTTGAATACTTTTTGATTAGCAATTTTTTTCTTTAAATTTTTATGAAAACAGTATTCCTTGATTGTACGTTATTATATAGATAGATTTTAAATAAATATTTTTGCTATTTCTTGATTATGCCTTTTTAAATAATTATTTTTTTAAACTTCTACACAAACTATTTTTTATTCCATTATAAATTTTTAAACCAAAATTTTGTCTATAACTATATTATTAGAAACCTCATTAAAATGTTTTTTTTTTATGTAAAAACAAGATATTTATTCCTATTTCTATTAGATTTGTGTTTCTAAATAATTATTTTAATTTCCTTTTTTTTGTTATAAATGGTCAAGTTTTATTTATAAATTTTAGTGTGTGAATTTTATATATTATTTACATGGGTAAATATTTAACATTATTAATTTATTGTATTTTTATCATTGTTGTATTTTAATGTATACCAAATATATGTATATATCATAATATTGCTTTCTTATTTATATTTAGTACTCATTAAAGAATTTATAGACGGATAAAAAAAAGTAGTGCAACTCAAAAAAAATACAACTTTGAAATTTCGATGATATTTAATTTTTTTTTACTTTTTGATTTAGAAAATTTAAATTTAAAAAGAATTAATTATTTAAAATATGTTAATAAAAGTAGAAATTTTAAATTTCATAAAAGTTTGCACATTTTAAATCCAAACCAGTAAAAATTAAAAAATATATTAATGTTTGAAAGCGTGTTAATAAACCTAAACGATTGTCAATTCTCTATTTAAAATATATTTTACGATTTATTAAACTTCCAAAACTTTTAATTCAAAAACTTATCTCACATACAATGAGATTGCAAAAACTTAAAATTTTAAAAGAAATACTATACTATTGAATGGCGAAGGAAGATCTAAAATAATTTTCACACAGCGCAAAGTATAATATTTTGCAAATAAATTGTATAATAATATTTTTTAGATAATTGAAAAATAAAAAATACATATATTAAAATTAAACTGAATAACCAAAATCTCATTCTACTACATACTTTATAATTCAAGAGGTAATAAACTTACTTATAAAATAATTTTATTATTTTCAAACTTGTAAAATAATTTTATTATTTGCATAAGATCAAATTATTTTGTGCAATTTATCTGATAAATCAAATCAAATTAGTTATCAAATTTTCTTTTATTTTCACAAGTTTGAATTGAACATACAAGTTTAATAATAATATTTGAGGAAGTCAAAGATTTTTGGACATCTTATTGTAATATTTGTTTATTGATGTATTTGATATTAATTAATATATATTTATTAATATATATAATTTATTTGTATTATATATATATAGGAAAATTATATTTTATAAATTTTGTGAATTAACTAGGATTTTTTTTTTGTTTTTATTCATTTTTTGTTTTTATACATTCTTAAATTTAAAAAATTATTTTTTTGATTATATATTTTATTAAATTTTTTTTATATAGTAAAGTCGTTTTTTTTACCGTATTTTCATTTTGTTTCTTTATTTTTAGTTTTTAAAAATATTTACTATGTATATAAAAATTTTAATTTTTTTGAATTTAATTTTATATTCGACAATTACACTTGCATTTTTAGATTGAATTTTCAGCCAACGAAAAAAACAAAAAACACTGACTTTATATAACTTTTATACCAACAGTTTTTTTGACTGAAAATTATATGAAAATGCTACATATTTACCAATTATAAAAAGACGATTTAAAATTATTAATTTTTCAATATAAATGTCGCAATACAAATCTTTATTATTTATTAGGTTACTACTTATGCTTTATTTTCTTTCTATATATTTATAAATCTAATATATATATACTGCTTATACATGGTAATAAGTAATGTGCTCTACAAATATGTAATATTAATTTTAAACGTATTGTTTAATTTTTATACATGATTTTTTGTTTTATTAAATAAACTACATTTTTTTTTTATTTTTACCTATATGCGCAGTTTTTTTTTTTTTTTTGCAATTATAATTTAAATTATTTTTATTCACAATTACAATATAAATAGTTATTATTTTCCCTAAAATCTAAAAAAAAAATTATATAACTATGTAATTTTTTTAAACCGGTTCATTATGTTTAAATTTTTATAGTATACTGCAAAATCTACTATTAATACACGTTAAATATTTTCCCAAACAAATTGTAATAAATAAAGAAATAAATACTCAACGATACTATTTAAAATAGACAATAAATTCAAATATATTGGGAAAATACAACAAATTAATTTTTTTTAGAAAGTATTAAAATATTAAAGTCATGTTTTAAACTTATATACGCAATTGTATATATATATTTATGCATATATTATGTACAATCATATTTGTATATATATATATACATTTCTTTTGCTAAATAGTTAACAAAAATTTAAAATATTGTAATTTTACTAGAGTACTTTGAATTTTTTATTGACTAGATTCGGAAAAAATTTTTATAAAACTTTTAGGCTATTTTTTACGTGCGCAAAATTTACACAATGCTATTACTTTATTTGCTTATTAAGAAAATTTAATAAGATATCATTAGATGTAATTGTTTTCAATATCAAAATTTAACATTTGCATACTACTGTAAGTTGTTGCAAAATATAATATATATATAAAATATCCTGTCTTTTATATTTATTTTTGCCAACTATTTAGTCCCAAAAATACATTTTACATATACGTATATTTGCATAAAAATATTTCAAATAGTAGTACAATAACAAAAATTCAAACTGCTCGTCATTATTATTATTACTGAAAATAATTTTTTACGTAATTTTGTTAAAACGAAATAATAACGAAAAAATTACATAAATATAAAAATTTTTATAACGTAATAGGTTTATATACAGGGCACTAAAATGCTATGGTGTTCACAAGTGTTAGATTTGTTTAAACTAAAAAAAATCTTTAATCTTTTATTAAGTTTAAATGACTCTAATGTTTTTATACATATGTTTTATGTTGTTTGAAGGCAATTTCAGAATTATAGTTTTTAATTTAAAATTTTAATAATTTTTAATTTTTTTTTTTATTTTTTAATGAAAAAGCATTCGAATAATGATTGTTAATAATTATATATGTATGTATATGCGTTATATTTTAAATTGTTATATTATTTTATATAAACTAAACTTTTTTTTGGATTTATTTTTTTTTTTGTTTTGCATATATCGTTTTTTTTTTAAATAATCGAAAAAAAAGAAATGTCAGAAATTTGGTTAATAAGTTTATTTTCTTAATTTATATTTAATTAAGTTACATATATGTATATAAATATGCTTATACATATATAAATACATATATATATATATGTATTGTATGTACACAATTATGCATATATGAATATTTTTCGATTTTATAGTTTGAATTAATTTATAGATTGTTAATGTTTATTTTATTTTATTCATTTTTTTTTCATCTCTAATTTTTGCACCAACAGTAACTGAACTAGAAAAAATATATATAATTAGCACCACCAACTTATATTCATTTTGCAAGTACTTTTGAAAATTTGATTTTTTTTAATTAGCAATGTTTTACAAATAAATATATTAACGCATAAGTATATGTATATTTTATAATTACATATATATATAATAGTTATAATATATATAACATATATAATAGTTATAAAATATTTCGGGTATATTATATTGAAGCAATAAATTTTTCTTATCTTTTTTCCTTTTCCCTCTTTTCTTCAATTTGCGATCAGAATGTGAATATTATCAGTTTTCGAGATCACAATTCAATTCATAATCGTCACTGTAACCATACCAGCATCACATCACCATAATTTGAAGTGCTACTCATTGATCTATTGTTCTATATATTCGCCTTTGTGGTTCCGGTGTATAATGTATTCGAGTACGTAAATGTTGTGGTGAACCAGGAACACTCTCTGAGCCTCGTCGTGGTAAAAGAAGAGGAGGAGATGCTGTTACATATCTTAGAAAGAAATAATTAAACACATAAAAATTAAAATAAAAACACCAAATATTACGGATAATATCTACAGAAAATATGAATGAGATACACAAAAGAAATATTTCATATTTTACGTTTTTGGAAAAAATGCGAAAATTTTATTTTATTAACTACGTCCTATTTTATTAATAAAAAAAAAAATTCAAGATTCAACTAAACTAATTCAACATAATACATAAGTGTTAAAAGATAAAAAACTTTACGTCTGTCCAATTAGCAAATTTCAAAAGGCGTTCAGGACACCGTTTAAGTATACATTACGAGTATAATGTATTACAAAATTCAAGTAAAATAATAAGTATTTATGAAACGTGAATCATAATGCAAATTTAACATTTTGCGTACTGGCAGGAAGGACATAAAACTTTTGATAAACAAAAAGATTCCTTTTTGCAATAATCTTTTTGTTTTGAACTAAAGAAATTTCTAATTTTGAATTAGCCAAAATGTACTCATGATACTTCTTCTAAAGTCTTCATGAATATTTTACACGAAGTGAATCACAAAATTACATTAATTTTTGGGCAAAAATCATATGTATACGTAATTATATGTACAGCAATTACCTTTTATTATAAAGTGGTGAACCAGGACTTGGAGGTTTTTTACCAGTTAATTCATCTATTAAGTCTTTACGTAATAATAATGGTGATTGACCTCGATTATAACGTGGTGGAGGATCTGGTGATCTATGCCTATTGTCAATGAAATGAGGATTTGGAGGTTGAATACTGCTATTACTGCTGCTGCTACAACTATTACCACTATTACCGGTAAATGAAACACTTGTTTGAGGGCAACGTGATCTGCTTAATCTATCGTCAATTATCATACGTTGAGTTGTATTACCATTTTGAATTGATTTACTGTCGATATTAATTCGATTGTTTGAGCTACTATTATTACTGCAACTATTGTTTGAATCCTTATCTCCATGCGTTAAATGTAATTTAACATAGGAGGCAAATTGTCTTTTAACAGCACCTGCAAAGGAATTGAACCATCCTGCTGTATAACACAGAATAATTTTTTATTTTGTTTTTGTTTTTTTTTTTTGAATCATTATGTTCCCCATTTTTTTTTTTTTTTATTTAAAATTGTTATTATGAATTTGATCCCAATTAATGGATATTGTGAATTTTTTTTTTATAATTTATGCGTGTGTGTAAATATAGTTGATATTCCAAAATGATGGTAATTTTTTTTTTGATGATTTTTGATGAAAAATTAAGTCAATGCCAATGCCAAGAATATTAAAAATTAAATAAAATCAAAAATAAATAGGCACAGCGTGAGAAATTAAGCAGGCAGCAAGCAAGTTTTTTTAAGATAACATAAAAATAAAAGAAAAAATATCAAAATTAGATAAATTTTTTTCAAATTTTTTGCTTAAAAATAAATAAAGCGGATAGGTGGAAAATGTGTTGATATTTTAAAAAATAAGAATATCATGTAATTTACTAGTTTTAATTTACTGTTGTAGTGTAAGCAGTGTCGCATTTCTGATAAGATAACACTTAATTATTACCTTCCTCTTTAGGACGATCCTTATTAATAACACCTTCTAAACTTTGTGACTGATTTGTATCCTGTTGCAAATGCTGCTGCGGATTTGATGTAGACAAAGATCTACTATATAGCTGTTTACTATAGAGATTTTGCTGAGCACCTATGGTATTAATATTACTATTTGTAGTTAAAGATACATTTTGCTGTTGTGTTGTTATTGTAGTGATTGATGTCTTAACATGAGAACTTTCTAAATTTAATGACTTCAATTCATTAGTTGGAGGTGATATTGAACTACGGTTAATTGATTGTTGTTGTTGTGGCAATTTATTGTGATCCATTAAATCTATATTACTATTATTTACATTAATGTTGATATTACCACCTGTACCAATTGCATTGTTGCCAACATTAGTATCAATGCCTGATGCAGTCTGAGATAGAAATTGATATTTTGCATTATTTGTGGTATTATGCTGATAATGATTATTATAAATTGGTATATTTGAAACGGTTTTCTGATTATTTAAACTATTGCTAAAAGAAGAATCATTTTCTTTGTGAAAGCTATTTGAATTAAAAGGTGATTCCAAAGAGCTATCATAATGACTAGAAGAATTATTCATCGTTGTAATGTTTGTCAATGGTTTAATTATACCATCAACACCAGATGATGATGGAGATAATATTGGTGATAGTGATCTACTTTGCTGAGGTTGATAACTATTATGTGTTGCAGATAATTGCGAAGATATTTGATGACTTGGTTGATATTTTGGTATATAACTATGACTATAAAATGGATTTGTGCTACTATTACTTTCATTGTCATATTGCCCATATAACTGATTATACTTTTCACGTTCACGTTCGCGAAGTTGATTTTGTTGATGATAAAATCTTTGAAGTACTTTTAAAAATATTACATTATTAGTATAGAAATAATTGGATTAAATATGATTTTTTCTACCTATTGGACTAGTTTTTCCCATAAAATGGCCATGATGATTAATACCAGTAGTAACAGGACCTCCTATTTGAAAATGTCTACGATTTGATACAGGTGAAGGAGATGAGCTGCGGTCATTTTTGAAATTGATCTCATCATTTCTATAATGTGGTACATATTCATTCCCGTTATTAATTCTATAGCTGGCGTAGCCCCCACCTTTGTCAGGTGGGCTAACACTATTCCAATAACCTTCTGGCTGATTTTGTACTTTCTTTTGACTGAATGGCGAAGTCGTTAAATTTCGAACTAAAATTTAATTTACGATTTTAATTATACTATCCTTTTATTATTTTATGCATTTTATTAAATTTTATTACCTAAACTACTTAATAAAGACTCCTTTTTGGGACTTTCCCCATATGAATTTTTAATATCACATTTTCTCTGAACAAAAGGAGATTTTTTATACATTTTATTCATTTCAGTAACAATATCAACTTCATCTTTTCTACTAGAGTAATGGCCATTATTGTGTTGTTTTGAGTTTTGCTGATAACTATTATAAATGTGATTTTGAAAATCCATAGATTCTTTCATACCGTTTCTTTCGTATATAGATGGATGCTTGGGTAATGGTTGATATGAATTTTTTTTAATGTAAGTTGGTAAAGATGGAGGAGATATAATATCACATTGTTTTAAGTATGGTTGATGTTTACTTTGTTGTTGTTGGTGTGGAGACCGCACAGACTCACTGCTTTTTAAAATATCATCATTATCTATACTTAAGTTTTTCGCACTAGGTGATCTACTAATATTATCATCGCTAGACTGGTGATAACTTGGAATTTGAGAAGATTTCAATGTTGCTGTTGATGCTGTTGTTACACTTGTTGAAGTTGATGACGTCGGTGACAAAGATAATGAAGTTAATGTCGATGATTTATTATGTTGAGTAGTAAAAGAGGTTGAACTGAAAATATATTTTTATTACTATTATTATGTTTTGTATAAAAGAAATTAAATATATACATATTCATTTTTTATAACTATGAAAAAGTTTTACCTGCTTTCAGTTCTGTAAATTTTGAATTTTGAAAATGATAGATAAAAATTAAAAATAATATTTCGTGAAAATATTTGAAAATTGTAAAAACTTGGTTTTCTGACAAAATTTTGCCAATTTTCGGGTATTCGTACATATTTTGGGAAATGTTTAAGGTTTTCAATAACACAAAAAGCAGAAATATAATAATAAATAATATTTTAATTAAAAATTTTATGGGCAACATTAAAGAAAAATAAAATTCTGCATATTTGCTACATAAAAAATTAAGTTAAAGTTTAAGTTAAAAAATAAACCGGGATTCAAAATCTTAAACAAGCAATTGTAATATTTCCATACAAATCGTAAAATTAGCAAATAAAATTGTGCGAGTCAAACTGAAGTGGAATAAGGAAAGCTTAAATGAATTTTTTGTGCAATAAAATCAAATAAGAGTTATTATAAAGCAATAATGCCTTAAATTTTCGCAATACAATAGCAATCCAGCTACAGCAATATGTTTTGAAATTCATTTTGAAAAACTTTTTGCAAGCCAAAAGCCTTATTAAATTAGACTTTTACTGTGCTTTAAAATATTAAAGGTAAATAATCTTATTCTCTTAGTAAGCTCAATATGTACAATTTTGAATTTTAATAAAAATTAAAAAAAATTAGTTCTACAAAGCATTGTATAACTTACACCATTTAAAATTATTATAGATCGGTTATAAAAACATAAAAATACATTCAAAATAAACTTAATATTAATAAATTTTTTTAAACCAAAATCACAAAAACTTAAAACAAAAATTAAAAAAAATTAATACTTACTGGAAAAATATAGAATTAGGAAATAAGTAACCTACAAAAAATTAAAAAAAAAATCAATCAGGAGGGAATTAAAACAAAAAAAAATCATAACTGTTAAAAAAAAAATTCAATTATTTTTGAACCGATATTTCGCGATGAGAATAATATTAGAAATTTAAAATGTTTTCTTTTTTCTCTTTAAAATTAAAACAAATTGAAGCTAATTAAGTTTTTAATATTGTTTCTAAATTTTAATTCAATAAATGTTAACAATGTGATAACTTTACAAGTTAATAATTTCAACGCGTACATAATATAAAATGAGTTAGCTTCGTTATTTTTAAACAGGATTAACATGCAATTATTTATAAATGTAAAAAAAAATTAACTACTTTTATTACATAAGTTTTTCTTTCAAAAAGTTGTTTCAATAGGAATCAAAATAAAAAAAAAAAGGAAAATCTTTAAAAGTTGCACTCTTATTTTTTGCATTCAAATTGCAAAAGTGGAAAACAAATGAAAACATATTTTGAAAAATAATATTTTTAGCTATAAAAATACTAAAAACTTCAGAAAAATATTAATTTAACATAAAAGTAATAAATAACATTTTTGATTGAATATTTATTGAGGAAAAAGTGTCATTACTAACCTTCGATGTGGTGTTATACCAGTTGTTTCAACTACAGATCGAAACCAAGCTGGAACATCAACAGGTTTTGTTTCATAAATTTTAATAAACGGTTGCTGTAGGAGAGCTGGATATTTAGGTCGATTTAAATAATTTTTAGTTAGGCTAAAAATTAAAAAAAAACTATTACATTCAAAATTAAAAAATATTATTTAACAAAAATAGTTACCATTTTGTTACGAAATCTTGAAATTCGGTACTAAATCCTTTGTCTTTTGGCAAACTTGGTGGTTCTGAATCTAAAACTTTAGTAAGTACTTCGAAATCTGTTTTACAACCTTGATAAGGTGAACATGCTGTTGCTAATTCTACCAAAGTTATACCTAAAGACCACACATCAGCACGTATATCGTATTCGGGTTTTTTCGGATCTATTCGTTCAGGCTAAATTATAGAAAATCATGTGTATTATTGTATGATTGTATTATTGTATTATTATATGGCTAAATTATACATGTATTACATATATTATTGGGACTCAACTTTTCTAAAAGAAAGAAACTTTTGCTTACCGCCATATAAGCAGCACACCCAGCCGATCTAGTATTGGCTTTAGAATCGACTAAGCGTCCGCTGATGCCAAAATCGCAAAGTTTAATATTGCCTCGTTCGTCGATTAGTATATTTGATGGCTTTACATCCCGATGTATTACTCCGTGTTTTTCTTTCAAATATGATAATGCTTTAACAGTCTAATGTAGGAAAAATTAAAACATAGATTTTCGTTTCAGTATAACAGTTAAAAATAGAAGAAAAGTACTTACAGCAACTGTTACTTTTCCTAAAACTTCCTCAGGAACTGGCATTTTAGATAAACGTAGTAATTTATCAAAGCACATTGCCATCAATTCCATACAAATCCAAACATCTGGATCAGTTATAAAACAACCCAAACATTGCACAATATATTTGCAATCGTGTGATTTTAATACTACATCTAAATCCATTAATATTCTTTTATTTTCTTCTGAATTACCAGTACGTCGCATTTGTTTTACAGCAATTATGTGGCCACTTGGCTTATGTCGCATTTTAACAACATGACCACTAGTTCCATTTCCTAAGTCACCTATATGTTCTAATTCTTTTATATCTGTTTGGTATTTTTGGCCATTTATTGTGATAATGCCATTCTGACGCATAATTGCTTTTAATTTTCTATCAGTTTCAGTTTCAACTGCTTTCGGTTGAGCTATCACTGGCAAGTTTAATTTTTTACGAGGTCTTGTTGGAGTGCTTTGTGGTGTTACTAACAAAAAAAAAGAACAAAAAATAAAAACAAGAATGAAAAATCGAAGTTTTATTAGTTCTTATGCACGCAAATTTACTTTAACAGGATATTTATAGTAACATATTTAACTTATTTGAAACAACTAAATTTCTATCAAGTTTTATATTATTTTTACTTACATTGTGTAGGGCGAGGTGGTGGAACCATGGTTCCTTGTGCTGCTGATGTTTGGGCAAATATATCACGTGATTGATTTTCCTCTTTCAATCGATTTTCTAATGTTTGAATTTTTAATGTTATTGTATCCAGTGAACTGGACATTTTTCAATTATTTGTTACACAGCTAACGAAGATTTTAGTCTTTAAAATAATAAATTAACTTTTTTCTTTTTTTCCTAAAATTTTGACAAACACGGACAAAACAAAGATGGATGCAAACTAAACTAAACTCTATTTATTGACATTTCGACCAAGTATTAAAAAACCAAGTTTAATACCGACATCTATTGTAAAATATAATAATACAAAATTAAGTATGTATATCAAAACACAAACTACAGTAAAACCTCCATATAACGAACTTCTCTATTGGATTGACGTCACTTCCCACAAAAACACTATTTGGCCTTTAATTTTAATGGTATAAATGGTATTTTTGAGGGTGAATGACCATCAATCGATTGCTCTCCCAGGAAAATTACAATTCTAAATTGTGAAATTGTATTTTTGTGGGAAGTGTCCGTCAATCATACCGTCAATCGATTGACGGTCATTTCCCACACTTAATTTTAATGGGCTGAGTGGTAATCTTTTTTGAGAAATGACCGTCAATCAATCGTTGCCAGATTGAGGGTCATTTCGCATTGATAGTCACTTAAAATTAAACGGCTGAAAGGCATTTTTGTGGTGAGTGATGGTCAATCGTGACCGTCAAACATATGAAGCGAAAATAAACCATTGACGTTGAGGCTACGTCAATCCGCTCAGTTCCAAAAAAAATACCCTTCAGACGTTTAATTTTAATGGGCAAAGTGGTATTTTTGTGGGAAAAGTGCGCCAATGGTTGTTTTGCCTCTTATTTAATTTTAATTACACCCTAAATTTTTTGTTTCTACTGTCTTACTAAGTGCTACCTTTATGCACTATTTACACACACAAATAATATGCATGAACGTGATCATATGTTTTGTTTACATATTTAAAAATATTTATGTGTGTACATTACAGAATTTTATATTTTATATTGTTTATATCAACTCAGAAAAAAAAACCCTTTGAATCAAATTGGAATATATAAAGTAACATGTTAGTTTTACCAAATTACTCTAATAGTTAATAATAGTTTAGAATTAATTTTATTTGTAAAAGTAATATTAATATTTTCCTTATTTTGAGTTATTAGGAAAAATAAAAGATTGCGATAGAAAAAATCGTACACATTTTATAAAGAAGGAAAAGTGATTTTAAAATACATACATAAATACATATTTGGATATAAAGCATGGAAAAAACTGATGACTATACTGAAGATGAATATTTTGTCTACATTGATTTCCAAAATAACTTAACATCACTTGAAGCAGATGATCCACGTTTAGATATTAAAATAATTGGAATCGATACAGAAAATCCAGTGATGGAAGTTAATGGAAAAACTTTCAAAGGTATGCTTACTTCATTGCTAATATAAAAATAATTGTGTATATTAATCATACTTTATGTTATGAATTTTCTTATGAATACACAGGCACTTATGAATATTCATACTGTACAAATGTTTTATTTGAAAAAGATATAAACCCTCCAATTTTGGATCCAATTTATGAAAAAACTTCTGAAAAATTTTATTGTTTGACTGGCAAAACCAACAAAAAAATCACAATGAAACGAATATTTTTAGAACCTAAAAATAAATCTGAAAATGAAACAAGTAATAAAGAAAATGCTAGACAGGAAACATTAGAAGAAATTAAGGAAAGGCTGGAAGTAGATGCTACATACGAAGATGCTTTAAATTTATTGTTACCGCCTGGTAGAGTAGCTCCTAGAAAAATTGAAGGCTCTGAAAGCTATCAAACTCAACATACTGTAAATGAATCTAAATACAATATATCGAATTTCAAAAATTTGGAAGAGCTTTATAACTTTGTTGAAGACTGTGATGATGATGATATTAAAGATCCAGATTATAATCCGAAAAAAGATATATGAAAGTATGCTCGTGCACGTAACTTTTTTAAAATTATATACCTTTATTTCCTTAATTTTTATCACAATATAAAATATGTTAAATAATATAGAATGCATTTATCCTAAATAAACCTAAATATTTTCATAATTTTTAAATTTTTTGTTTTTACCAGGTTTTTAAAGAAAAATATTGCGCTTTAAAAGATTTAAGAAAATACGTATAGCAAAAGTAATACGGTGCACACTCCAATGATAGCCCCTAGTATTAACGAGTCCCTCCGTTTCTTAATGTTAATTCTTTGCAAAAGACTAGAATTAAATATTAAATTAATATTTAATTACTTTTGATTTTACAAATAAATGTTACCTGGATATAAGAGGGAAACGGTTTGAAATATCATTTAAACGTGTTTGAAATCTTTTAAATGAGTGGCGTTGCGATAATAAATGATCTTTTGTTTCTAGAGCAATGGAAATTTGATCATTTATCATATTGTGGGAACTAAAATGAATATTAATGAATATTACAATATCAAATCTATGCTTTAAATATAATAAAACTCCATACTTCATTATATGACCACTTTCTTTTAAATACATATCTCTGCGGCTTAATCCAGACGTAGTAGGATTCGATAAAGTTCCTGTATTTGATAGCCCAGAACCTCTTAAAAGCTCTTCTCGTTCCATTCTTGTTGTGTGGTTAGCACATATCTTATTAAATTCTTGCCTGTATCCTTGTAATATTTCTCTATGTCTCTGTAGGGTATGCATTGAAGCTGTTCCCGTTGATGGCAATTCAGCAAGCATTTCGTTAACGCTTGATAGCTAAGATGTTTATGTTATTCAATTGAATAAAAATCAAAAGGTAATTTGCTTACCCTGTCCAACATTTCTGTTATTTCTGCTGATAAAGAATCAAATACATGCTCTCCAAGTAATGGTGATGTTTGATCTGAAGCATTTACACTACCAGCCCCAACTTTGCTAAAAGCAACTAACTTCATATCAATTTCATTCTCAAGTTGTCTTGCTTGTTTCCTTAAACCTTTAATTTTAATTTTTTTTTGTGAATTGTTTTTATTATGATGATTTTGAAACCTACCATCATAATTAGAAGTAGTCATCCTAAATTAGCTGTTTAAATAAAATTTAATCAAATATTTAAATTTAATTCCAATATTATTATAATTTTAATTTAAGTTGTCATTGGTCTTGTACTTTTTTGACTTTTTGACGTGTGAAATTTAAAAAAAAAACAACAAAAATTGGAATGAAAATAATGAAATGGCAGCACTATCATTTGACAGCAATGTTCGCTTTTGTAAATATCTCTTTCATTTCTAAAAATTTAAGTGCACTCATAAGCGTGGAAATTTTATTTTTGCAAAAATGTTATTTCTAATTTAATATTTATTTTTAATTGCTAGAAAAACAGGTAAATATTGCATTAAATTAATGATAAACAATAAGGTTTAACCTAAGATTCTGGTTGTATAACCTCAAAGTCATATTTTTAAAGTACATTTTAAGAGTAGCTTGTAAGTTTTTGAATAGCTATATGATGATGTAATCAAGGGTGTCGAGAACAAAAATATATTTGTTTGCATTTAAACTTAAATAATTTATAGAAAAATAGACATGACAAAGTCGGGAAATTGATTTCTAAATTTAATGTTTACAAATTAAAATGGAAAATAACCTCATTTTTGAGAATTATATTCCCCTAACCTATTTTATCAACGTAGCCATTTTTTAATTTTTTATATAGAAATGAAACTGTCAAAATTTTAAGTATATGTTTAATACGAGGGTACCTATCTATTATCAAATAAGCTTTAAGTTTTACCGATGAATGTTTCAAAGTTTATTCAAACAGGAAATTTCATTTGAAACGTTAATTTTAAAAATTGCAAATTATTTTATTATTCTTTACAATAAAGAATTTTGCAATTTTAATATATACATAAATAAATGTTTTTTCTTGTTTTAATTTAAAGAATATAATCACCATAAATCCGAACAATGGACAATCAAGGATTTTCTATACAATGGATACCAGTTGAAAATTCCCTCAACGTTACGAACGAAGAAGTTATTACTATGGAAGCTCGAACGGAAGAAGATAATAATGTGCACAATTATATCGAAATGTCTTCATTGCCAACAAATTTAGATCAAATTGCTGCGGAAAATTTGATATATATGGCACATGATGGACATATAGATACAATTTGCGAAGATTTAATAGAAGAAGATCCAGATGGTGTGACAGAACATTCAAATCCAAGTCAAATAGTTCAAGTGTATCATTCGAATGGTCATAATGATAATAATTCGAGAAATATTAATGAGGTTGTTATTCAACATAACGAAATTGTTAACACGGAAAATGAGAGTGTTGAAGATCAGTCACAATATTTTGAATGCCAAGTAACCACAGAAGAAATTATTACAGATGATTGGGTACAACAGCAGGGTGAGGAAAGGTAAAATTTTAATACATAGTCATTGAAAGTAATTTAAAATCGGTTATTGCAATTATTTATACCTTTAGAGTTGAAATATCAGTTGATCAAATAACTGCTGGCGATCCTCACGATACTGATGATATTGATGTTCCTTTACCAACAGATCAAGATGAATATACTGCACTGAGACCGTATCCATGCGATTTTTGCAGTAAACGATTTAAAAAAAAACTTAGTTTGATGAATCATATGATGGCTCATAAAAATGATCGTCCACATATTTGCAATTTTTGTGGCTGCAGATATATGAGGCGAACCGATTTACTCAATCATTTAAAAATCCATGCCAGTATGGGGGATCATCAAATTGACGAATTTGATGAGAATTGTAACAATGAGTGGTTTTAATTTAATCCTCTATTAATTTTTTTTTATTCAGATATGCATCTTAATGATCATATAATTGAGACAAAACCAACTGACCGTCGAAGTGCTGATCACTATTATGACCAGATGTGGGATGAAGTTGAGGCTATAACTTCAGAATACGATAGGCGTAAGCCTAGTTCTAAGCATAAACAAAATTCTAACAACAATAATTCTATACTTACAACAAAGAACAAAATTAGCACAAAATCTAAAAAATGTGTGGACCTCAAAAGCGAAATTGTTAAAGCTGAAAAAGTTGTTCACAATGAAGAAGAAATACCCCATTATCCAATTTTAGACGAAAGAAAACCTTTTGTATGTCAAAAATGTGGAATTGCCTTTGCTAGAGAAAAGGCCCTATTATCTCATAAAAGGGTAAATATTGAAAATTTGAAAAATATATTATATCTGAATTCTATTATTTAGATTCATGCAAATAACTCGCCTTCATTTGAATGTAATAACTGCAATGAAATATTCTATGATATTGATAGTTTAAATGATCATCAACGAGCTCATCGTTTTGAGGAGAGTCATTCAGAATATGAACCTGGACAAGGTGATGAAAGTGATTCAAATGATTCTTCGAAATATGGTGAATTTTATTGTAACATTTGCGGGATGTCATTTCACCGACAAGATTTACTTCGGCGACATTCGAAAAGCCATATAAAAAAGGAGGCTGCAGACAATGGTTATGTCGGGGCGGAAATGCGCCATTGTTGTAATGTCTGTGGTGAGAACTTTTCGGAAGCTCTTGATTTGTTGGCTCATGCTGAAATCCACGCCAGATCACAACCTTTCAAGTAAGAAATTTTATTTTTGTTTGCATTGCTTTACAAATGATTTTAATTTTCAGATGTGTACTTTGCGGAGAAACGTTTTTAGAGGAAGCTACAATAAAAAAACATGTATCCAATGTTCATTCAAAAGAATTAACGACAAATTCATGTGTTTTATGTGGAAAGTGCTGTAAAGATAGAAAATCATTGATTAAACATGCTTGGGAACATTCGAAAGAGAAAAATCATTCTTGCTCAAAATGTGGGAAAACCTTCCATAATAAGGCTAGGTAAAATTGTATGTTTTGAAAGTTCCTTGAAAATTAATTAATTATGAATTTAGATTGAACCGTCATATGGTGTCACATCGTAACAAAACAGTAATTTGCGAAGTTTGTCAAGAAGAATTTCCAGATGGAAGATCGTTAATGAATCATCGACACTCACATACGAATACATCTGGAAAGTTATTTCCGTGTCAAGAATGTGGTAAAACTTTTGGATCACGTAGTTCGCAACAAATTCATATTCGAATCCATACTGGTGAGCGTCCTTATGGATGTCGTTATTGTTGGAAAGCGTTTGCAGACGGTGGAACATTAAGAAAGCATGAAAGGATTCACACAGGTTCCTGTCAAAACTTTAAAAGTAAAACAATTTTTTATTACATTTTAAATAATTTTTAAGGTGAAAAACCATATGCCTGTTCTGTATGTCCAAGAGCTTTTAATCAAAGAGTTGTTTTACGTGAACATATCAGATCACATCATTCTGCTGTTGACGTTAAAAGGGGGACATATTATTGCCCGGTTTGTTCTAGCGATTTATCCAATTCGACTGATTTAATACAACATTTGATTCAACATAGCGATATGCATACAGCTATGAAAAGACAGCCAGTTGTATGATGTTAAAAATTTAAAATAAATCATAAGAAATCTCTAACGATTGTATGTTTCAGACCGGTCCACGGAAATATAAACGAAGACGTAAGCTAAAACCTCATGAACTGGAAAGATTGCGGTCAGAACAACGTGAAGGAATTAGCGATATAGATTATTCGGATTTGGATATGGGAGATGTAGATGATTTACTTGGCATAACATCGAAATCTAAAAAGTATAGTCGGTCACCTACTGGGTCTTCATTTATCAAAACGGAAAAAGAACGCGAAAGAACTTTGTCAGCGTCTAGTACAAACCGTATTAGAAAATATTCAAATAATTCAGACAAAATAAATTCAAGTAGTTGGCAAACAAAACTAATAACGTCTTCGACAAATGAAGACTATAATTCGGTTATATCAAACTTAGAGAATACTTTGCAAAATATTGATACTCTTGTAGTTAGTAACAATTCATCATCAGTCTTAAATAAACAATCTGTGGTTTCTACGAATTGTAACGAAAATTCGTCAAGACTTCTTTATCCTGATTTGAGTCAACAAATTGAATCAAGTAAAATCGGTTCCACTAATAATACTTATATGAACAATACATCAAAAGTAAGCAAAATAAATAACGTCAAAAATAAAAAATCTAATCCTGATAGTTATAATGGTACTTCAAATGAGTACAACAAAAAGAAACCAAAAATGATACACACTCAAAAGACAAGAATTTCTGTTGAAGAAGGAAAGCGTAAAACTCGAACAATGATTACGACAAAACCTGTATCCATACACCGAAATGAAGTTTTCTTTAATGACGATCGGAAATCAGCTGGCGAACTTGACGTAATAATACCGGATATTATAACGAATAGGTCACCGATTCGTGTGAAACAAGAAAACTCATATATAGAAAGCCACCCTTCTGGATTGACTACAGAATCTGATTTATATAACGCACAATTGCTACTAGAAGCTGCTTCAGTTCGCAAAGAAATAGAAAAATATAATCCCAACGTTGTTAATGAATTAGATGAGATTTTAAGATCTCCAGATAAAGTAAAGTCTCCTCAGTGTGATGAAATTGAATTGGAACAAAAAACTGAAATGAATTTTCTACAATCTCCGATTTCATCTAATACAGTGTATACAGGTTTTGGTTGCTCAACAAACGAAGAGAGGCGTTCAAGTCGTTCACGTCGTATTTTACCAAATCGCAAATATTTGGAATATGAAACGACACCACCTCGTACAACATTTAAATCTCAAAAAAATTCATCTATAAAACAGAATAAAATGTCAAAAGTGAAATATGAACAAAAAGAATGTGTTAAAGTTAAGAATGAACCAAAATATGAAGAAAATTTGCAAATAAGCAACAGTCATAGCAATATTCAAGTAAAATTTGAAATTGAACCTTCAGGTACAGAGATAACCCCAAATGAAAAACAAATTTCTATAAATGATTTACATAACGCCTTAAACAATTCAAATATAAGTGCTGACAGTAGTAATGGAAATGATTGTAATATTTCACCAAAAAAAGACACAATAATAAAGGTTGAAGCCAGTACTAACAGTTTTAAGTGTGAAATGTGCTCAGCTTCATTTTCCGATCGAGCCCAACTTTTGGTTCATGTTCCAATTCATATATAAGAAAGTGAATTTTGTTTCTTATATCATTTTTTATAGTGTCTTTTCATTAGTTTACTTAGACACTCTTTCTATCATAAAACTGTATTTGTAATAAATACATCAAAACATAGTTTCTATTTTGTCCTACGTTCGTTTAGAAGTCTGTGCCATAAAAAATCGCGATTTTACAAGTGTGATATTGGCATACTGAAAAATACTGATAAAAAATTATTTTTAATTAATATTTGAAAAACTTTAAGGTACCAGTTTTTTAAATACATATGTACATATGTACATATATTATTTAAAATTCAGAATTAATTTTTGACAAATTGTTTTACATAATACCTATAATGCATGTGTGTATAAAAAATAAAATTTGTATATACGTATACAAATTTATTATATAATATATCAAAACTAAGAATTTTTTATATATTCATAAGAAATAATTAATGATAAGATGTTTTTAGAATTAGACTACTTTTTATAAAAGATCATTAAATTACTTGACAAACTTATGGAAAGACGAGTTCAATCTTTTTTTGGTTTAACTGTTTGATTTAAATAATTTCAATAAATAAAAGTTTAATTGTTTTTTTAGTTTTTAATTACTTTAGGCTTTGTTATCGCTATGAGGTTAACAGTCAGTGTATGCTTTATCAATTAGCTTAAAATTGAATGCAATTACATTAGATTGAGCAAGCGGATGTTAGATATTATTTTCCTTATGAATTTATCATAAATTTTTAGTTTATCCATTTTCTTAGGTTTTGTATTTACATACATTATGTATTCTGCGTCATATTCTAAAAAAATTATTAAAGATGTACATAATAATATAATCTAGCAATAGTTTTAAACAATTTTAAATTTAAAAATTTTTGAATTAAAAAAAAAATTTATGTTATTTTCATTGCAGTATCGGAGTTAGTTTTATTCTTTATTTAAAAAAAATATGTGATGTAGAGCACTAATAAAAGTTGTTTGGTAAATTTTAAAATTTTAAACCTAAGAATTACAAAAAAAAAACATTTACAATAGAAGCATTTCAGATTTTAATAAATAATTGTAATGAGCACATATGTACATATATGTACATAATGTAAATTTTGATTAAACATTTTCTTACATTTTAGAAAATTCAAATTTTTCTATTACTATAATAATATTAAGCAGAATAGTGAACTGAGCTCTGATTTTTTCCTACCAAAAAGTCAATTTGTTTATAAAATTTTCAAGAACTTTTGTTAAAATTTAGATTTTTAAAAATAAATGAAAATTTCTTAAGTTTCACTAAAGAAAACAGCAATAAATAAGAATTGAAATTGCGAAAACACTATGTATTTTCAATAATTCAGTGCAACACATTTCTAAAAAGTACGCTGCATAAATTGTATTCAGGACTGCAGAAAAGCATGTTTCAAAACATAACTTGTACACTAGAAAATTCAACGCGGAGTCAAAGTGTTTTGGAAGTAAATTTTAATTTGGATTTGTTATTTTAAGGCTTTTTTATTACAAATTGTGAAAAAAATAGTCATTTCAATATTAGAAATCAAATATCAAATGCTAAATCATCAATTGTGTTGTAAAATTTATTTCATGCATCACACACGTAGATTCTGTTACATAAATGCAAATATGAATGTCGGTTTTGCTCTGTCACACAAAAAAGTTTTTGTATTTTGGTCAAATAATTTAAGTTAAAACAACAGAGAACAATAAAATTCGATTATTTTATTTCTTCCATTTTACAGCAAAAAAAAAAAAAAAACAAATTTATAAGCTGTTTTACAATACTAAAATGATATTTTATGGTTTGATTTTATAGTGTTAATCAAGATTTACGTCAGGTTTTCGTTATTTTATTAGAAAATGATATTCTTGTTATTATTTTTATTGTATTATAATCAAAAGAATAAATTTATGCATACCTAATTGTTAATTTTTGAAAAAAATTATGCATTTTTTTACAAACGTGAAAAGGATATTGAGAAATTCTGAAAACACCATTAAAAGCTGCAGAAAATTATGCACTTTTCTTCGTTTTATTAAAAGCGAGTTATCAACTTACTTTGCTTAATTTAATTTATTAAATTGGAAAATTATTTGTTTATCTAACAATATTTAATAATGCCAAATTAAATTAAGTTTTAATGATAGGTTAGCATAAAAAATTGTAAAATGCACGTTGTTAAAAAAACCAATTTAAAAAAACATTAAAAATGGAAAAGAACAAAAATTCACTTATTATTATTAATTGAATTTAAATTAATAAAGTAAATTTCAAAACTAAAATAAAATTTAGAGATACATTTTTAAAAACTCTACATTTATTAAATTATAATTTAAAAAGAAACAAAGTGTTAATATTTTCTATATACGAGAATGTTTCTTAAAAAAAATTTTAATTATAGAGGTTTTTCAAATCAGTAGCCGTAGTTTTAAGTATGTAGTTATTTTCTGATAACAAAATAAAAAAGTTAAAAAATTCTTAGTTGTTTAATTTATTTTTTCAACCTCATAATTAAGCTTGGTCAGGTAAACCATTCTGGAAACTTATACTGGGTGTTTTTACATTTCCCATTGACGAGTTAAACAATCTATGATTATTCTATAGTAATTTTTGCTTATCATGGAAATGCTATAGAAACCTGTGACATCCTAAATGCCATGGGAATATTTATCAGAAAATAAAAAAATTACAAGTTAAGGTATGATCATTGTACATCTAATCAAAAATTTATTGTAGCAAAAAAATTTCACGAAAATAAGTAAATTTCTTGAGTACCTATTTCACAAAATGTTTTTTTTTTCTTATTCGTTAATACACCTAACTTCATCATTTACATTTTAAGCATAATTGCTTAATAATATGTATTTACAAAATTTAAATTACACTTCTACTATTCAAAACATTATTTAGAACCAATTTGCCATATTCATGAATCCTAATACTTTTCGGCGTTAGCGTCACGAATTCCAGTTCTAAAGGTAAGCGCAAGTAATTGTCAATGTCAATATAGTTTAGAATTTATATAGTTTGCTGATAAACATTGTTGAATTATCAGCAATATAGTCAAATTATGAATACTAAATCATATAGGTAAACTGCTTTTATGGAACAGTCGAAAATATATTGCATGTGGATACTAATGACGTTATGCTTTTGCAGTATTGCAGTTGTTCCTTTGTAATATTGCGTTTATAAAGCTCTAGTATTTTTAATGTACATGACTGCCAAACACATTGATCACATTCTGGTATGGTACCCAAATACACTCGTATAATATTTATAATTAATCAATGAAATTAGTTGCATTATTTTACAAAACTAAAGAATTCCAGGAAGTTCAAATACATATTTAAAATTTTAATTTAAAATTCAACTTCCTTAATCACTAATGTTTTTAATGTCAAATAATGGCTAAATTTTGCATATTATAGGGAAAAGCGAATTATATGTAGTACGAAGATAACGTCCTCACTCAAAATAGACGTTAAGTCTGGTATAAAAAAATTAAAAAAACTTTACAAAAATAAAACAATGACGTATTTCTCGCCAAAAGAAAAAAAATTCTCATTTCAAACAACAATAAACTAGACAGAAAAGTTGAAAAACTTAAAACCTTTATAAATCTAAAGGTTTCTGTTTAAACATGATATTTACAACAACATGACATACATATCTATATTTCAATGCCTTTTTAGAAAATTTTATGATCTCGAGAAGTGAATAACTATTGATATCTAAACCCTTAGTATTACCGGCGAAGCGAATGGTTAGACGAGTCAAATCGGAAACCGAAAATAATAAGCAAAGTATATCTATGAAAGTACATGATAGATATACTTTAATAATAAGGTTAACACCACACATATGTACAGTTTTTTGCTTTCTTGCGAAAACAATTGAATTTTTTTATCCTTTAGCAATTACGGGGTTGTTGTCAATTTCTTTATTTGAATGCTCGAATTGTTTTTGGCTCGATTTTTCCACGCTTAAACTAATATTAAAAAATCAATATTTCTTACTATAATTTGTAGAATTTTATGAACTTACTTTACAGATAGTTTAAATTTTTTCACTATATCACTATATATGCTATATCCAATAAAAAAAAAAACACTTATGTATTATTTTGATTTTTGGTTTCATTCTCCAAGGTTGTCAGACTTTTCATTTAAACTTTTTCACTCAGACTTTTTATTCAAACGATTTGGCAGTTCATTTAGGCGAATTCGCTAATCATACATAATACCAAAAATTCATATTCGCTAAAAATTTCATTCGCTTCGCCGATCATAATAAGCGCCTAATTTTGTCAGAAATTTTTTTTAGACAATTGGTTAGTTATGTATAACGTTCTTCAAGAATTTTTTTTTAAATTACTAGAAAAATTAATTTTTTTTTCTTGCATTAGAAAGCGCTTAAAATTTTAAGTAATACTGCATTCATAACTTGGTTTTGTCAATATTCTGATAGAAAACCCTACAAATATGTAGGTGATAAACGTCAAATTTCAAAAAATTTATCACATATAAACAAATATTTTTTGGTTACATAAAAAACCGAAAATTTTGATTTTTGATTATAAAAAAGTGCGAAATTATTAGAAAAATTATTTGTGAATCCATGTTTTTTAATTTATTTTATTTTTAATTAAAAAATTTTTAGATAAAGTATTTAGGAAACTTTATAAAGTTTTTGCAAGTTTTATAAAGCTTTTAAAAATTTTCGTATACTAGACAGAGATCTATCTATTGCGTTTGAAATATAGACATTAACCTTTTCCACTCCAATGTCGTGTGTCACCGATTTTGTTCCACTAGCTCCACTCGACATGGTGTGATACCTATCAAATGTAAAAATTTTATCGATACTACATAATAAAACTAGCTGTTATCGCACCGTTATATGTTCGCGTCGTAAACAACTTATCTCTGTACTACATCTGTTAGCGTGGAGCTGGTGGAATAAAAACAAAAACAGCCTTGAAGTGGAAAGGGTTAAGCTTAGTTTCCACCTTTTCCTAGCTTCTTTTAAAGTTTAGTATTATAATTATTTTTATATATTAACCATATATTATTAAAACGTTCATATATCTATGTATATTATAAATCATACTATATTTATTAATTTTCAAAAATTATTTTATTATATCTTTATTATTTCATAATAATTATTAATTATAATAAAGTTTTATATATTTATCACAAAATAAAATCATTATATATTATACTTCAAATATGTATAGAAATTAATACAAACTAAGTTTTTAAAAACAATTTTACATACTATTATATTATTCTGTTTATACATATAGATGTATGTTTACATATTACATGAATAAATATAATTGTAATCAAAAAATTAAATTTTTAAGGTTAAAATTAAGTTTTTAGACAACAAAATATTTCAGTTTTATTGTACATGTGTAATAAAAATGCGTTCATAATATAAAAAATTTAATTTTTTTGGCATTTTTATTAAAATTTATTTTTTTTTAGTTTTTCTATATTTTATTGTTTTTAAAAACATCAAATAAATTACATTATTCAAAATTTTAAAACAAAGTGTTATCGTATATTTTATCATTCTCATAAATTAAAAAATAAATTTAAAAATTAAAACTTTTTCAAATTATATTACCGTAATTATGAATATATATATATATATATATATATATAAATATATATGTAATAATAATAATATTAAAAACATGGTAAAAATGTTATTTATAAACTACAATTTTGAAATTTAATAAATTTTGTTCAAAATCAATGTTTGATCTATAACGAAACTGTAAATAATATTAATTTCCTATTATCTGGAATATTCTTCCATTTAAAATTATAAAAGTCATCTTACTAATGATCATTACTTACCATCGAGTGAAAAATTTTTGTTTTAAATCTGAATTTAAATGAAAAGTTCTTATTTAAATTTTAAAAGGTTCTTCATTTTTATCTTGGAAGAAGTATGTATACTAAATTCTTTTAGTTTTATAAATTTTCAATTTTGAAATAAATTTTTGTTTTTTTGTTTTCGAAAAGGCAGCATATTTTACATATT